AACTCAAAACCTGTCACACAGTTAACCCGCGGACACAAGGCTGGTTTATAATAGACTGATCGGCCAATATATTGGTAAACAATGATAACGATGTGTAAATAAATGTGTCTCTCATTTGTACTGGAATTCCGATAACTTGATAGACCGATATCATTTTTTTCATTACCTCTAAAAAACCGTATACATGTTAGGTAAGAAATCTCGTTGTATCGCAACGGATTATTTAGTTTATACTTTTTATAAGTTTTAATATTAAATGAAGTATGAATAATATCCTCCACGCTCGATTTACTACGAACAAATAAGATATACCACGCCTGATTTATTACATACTAGCTGGTGCCCGAGACTTCGTTCGCTTGGAATTTGAAAAGCGTTGCCTTAAAGGGTTCGATTCCCGGCCCGGGCAAAATGGGGTTTTCTGAGAAAGAATAGCCTAAGTTACTCCTTATAAGGAGGAGTAAAATATTATCAAAATCGGTCCAGCCGTTTTGAAGATTACACGGATTTAAACTGGTTTTTCAACATAGGTATCGTGCCAATAACTGTGTGAGTATGAAAAAAAACTATTATCTTGACATCACAAACAGACACCTTAATTTTATTTATTTGTATAGACAAATAATCCATACACGTACAAATAATTTAAATGTGAAAGTGTATCTGTCTTAAACCGCTAAACTGACTTAGATGAAATTTTGTATAGATATAGTTTAAGGAAGGGAAAGGACATAGGATAGTTTTCATCTAAGCAATCATTAAGGGGGTGAAAAGGAGGGTGGAAGTTTGTATGGGGAATCAAGAACCGTTCAACCGATTTAGATAAAAAATGGTATGAAGATATGTTTGATTCTTAAGGAAGGAAATATGCTACTTCGGGATAAGAAAATCTGCGAAGGAGGACTTTTTTAAGGTATAAGAGGGCAAACAAGCTAATGGATCACATGACTAGGATAGGACTTGAAATAACATGGTCCGGGTCCTCCCAGAGTAGGACACCTAAGACCCGCCGTCGGGGTGGTTTTTAGTGGAATCACCACATACTCCTGGCTCCTGAGTCCCGAGGAGCAGGAGATCCGAAGGTATTTTCCACCCCGTCAAGAAAAAAAATCGGTTGTCTGTAAAGTCGGTTTACTGACGATAGTTGAACGTGACAACGTCCTAAGAAAATACTGATGGAATGGTTGCATTTTACGAAAACATGTAAATGTATTATTATGTAGTATGTATAGCAGCTGTCCACACGGACGCATCGCTCACTCAAGTAGGAGAGAGACAGATGTCAAACGCTGCCGAAGGCCGATTGTGCATATTTGTCGCTCGTTCCGCGCTCTCGCTTGCACTTCAAGCCTTAAATGGAACGCCTCAGAGCGAGGTAACGCCGCATGAGTCATGTTTTATCGAGCGTGTAGCCGGCTCCATCGAATTATAAGACGTTGTCACGTCAAAAAAGGTTAGGTAAGTAACTATCGCAGCCCATAGCACCTGCAACTCTAATCATAAGTGCGTCCATTTGAGTCACCTTCAGAGAAAAATTAACGAAAGTACGTACACACGTAAATACTACTAGCATTGCGAACCTCTAACGGTATTTTTATCAAATTAAGGTTACAATATGTTATTGTAATCCTAATATAACTGTTAACTTATCAATTAAACTAACGATTAAACTAACAGGAAACTTTGAAACTATAGCAAACGTAGGCACGATAAATATTAAGTAACTACAAGTAATTTTATTATATTATTATTAAGAAACAAAATAAATAGTATAATTATTTAGTTGTTAAATATTGAAAATACATGTGCCTACATCATGAGGAGTTTTCATAAACTGTGTTCTTCGTTCCTTAAGTTTTCACTCTTAACTGTGGTATTTGTTGCTTCGGTGAGTACCTGAATTCAACGTATGCCGAGTGATCGGTCGAGACATGTCCCCGCCAGCAATCATTACTGCCATGCTGGCGGATCTCTTTCTGTGAAGATGTAATGCTCCCGAAAGAGACCGCAGGACGGGTTCGGAAGAGGGCCCATCCCCAGCAAAGAAAACGTCAGCGGCCGTGTGAGCCGCATTTCATTTGTTGTACTAAACTATTATAGTAGTTATACTCGTAACTAATTGGGACTAATCCCACCCACACGCCCACCACTGTAACTCCTGTACACCAGGATCCACAGCAGTGACCCACGAACACACCGAGTTATGACACTCGGGAAGTCCCAGGAAGAAATTAAACTGTCTTTATACTCGTAACTACTACGAACTTCGTTTTAGAATAGGTATGGTAAATGTATTTAAGAATATTTAAAATCAATGATGTTTTTATTCAAACTAGCTGTACCCCGCCACGCTTCGCTGTGCTAAATTGAAATTGCATTGGTGAGAAGAGAAAAGAGGATCAATCCACTACGCCATCCGTGCAGTTTTGCTACAAATCTATGCGTACGAATCCTTTGTTTGACCCATATGTTTAACAGACACGATAACTGTTAAATGGGCATTGCGTAACGCATGCCGGACATTCGTTACTTCAAATATAATAAAGGTTCCTGTCCATATGCATATAAAATAATTGAGTTTATATAAACTACGCAAGTATTAGTACAATGTCGTTTGTGAAAAAAATGCATAATAATGGCATTCGAATACATACTTTGTAGGAATACATACTGATCCGTGTGGTGACGGATTAAGAATCGGAATGTCACCACCCCTATTCATCCCGCGGGTGTCGTAAGAGCCGACTAAGGAAGCAAGCTATGCAGAACAACAGCACTACGAGGACAAGGAAAAACTTGATACTATACCAACCCGACTGGCCAGCGTGGTATAGTAGGCCAAAACCTCCTTTTTAAGGAGAGGCCTATGTCCAGCAGTACATACCTATTACTAATTTTACACGTGTTGAACACTATAGGAGCATTGAACATACTGAATGAATTTCAATTGTAATTTATTCAGAATACATGATCATTTGTTTATTTGAATGGTTTCTGAGGTTTCTGATAATCTTGAGGAGAATATCATTCTCCTCAAGATTGGACTCCTCATTCTACTCCTACTTGGTAGTAGATCAAGATTGATTTGTCTTCTAGGAAGAAAGAAGGTTTAGATATTGACCTTTTAAGTTTTTTTTTTTAAACGTAATTTCGGCAGAATTTTGTCGGATAATTGTAGATGCCAAAATAATATTTTTTAAATAGGTTTAACGCACACGGTCGTGTAGTTAGTGTGTGTCTTCAGAATAACAACGACAAACACCATGGCAATTACCTGGCGAATAATATTTAAAAAAAAAAAGATCTTTAAGAAAAGAATTGAGATGGGAAAATGTTAGAGCTCTTCTAACTCATAGGCAATTCAGTTGCTTTAAAGAAATTTAACAATTGAAATTATAATTTTTATTAAACATTAAAAAAATGTTAGGAGTATAACATTTGACAAAAAAATATGTAGCCATGTCACAATAGCCTTAAAACGCCCTTATTAGAGTTAAAAAGAGAAAGGAAGATATAAGTTAAATGAAAAATAAGTACATATTCCAAAAAACAAGAAATCCGTATATTGTGCTGTATATTCTATACTGTATACTCCGTTTAGTCGTAATTTTTGTATATTATTTTATTGTTTTTATGATTTCACACCTCTCACACAGGGCAGTCTGACCCCAAACTATGCAGACAGAGCCTGTACTATGGTAACAAAACTGCTGATAACCATACTTATACTTTTCGAAATACATCCATATTATAGATAAATTACACCCAGACAGAACAAATGATCGTGCTCATTACACAGTATTTGTCCTGGGTGGGAATCGAACCCACGGACCTCCAACTTTGCAGTCAGGGTCACTAACCACTAGACCAATCGGGCCGTCACCGTCAAATATTAATACCTGCAATTTATTTATCAATATGCAATCGGTGTATTTACATTTAAAGGGTTTCCTTAAATGTTGATTAGCGAAACGATAGTTAAAAAGTATTTTAATAAAATACTCCTATTTTATACTAAAAGATTTATATATTTATTAAATTTATAAAACTGAAATATAACATGATGGTGGTCTGTAAAATTCAAAATATATTCATAAGCCACTAACGAATAGGGAGGAATAATAGTTTGTTTGGTTGCGTTCCGACGACACATACATTTCGGGAAAAAATAACTCGAGAAAATAGAAAAATAAAGCATTTCAAATAACCTACCAACTTAATATAATTCTAACATTTACTGACGGAGAGATCAAGATAATACACTATCTCAAACTATATTCTATACTCAGGAGCCCTAGTTTAGTTTTATCTCAAAAATAATTAATTGAAAACAATTTTTCAATGCTACAGAATGACTACGTTCGTACAATCCATAAACACGTTCTTTTTTTTTATTTCCCTTTACGCCGTAAATAGCCTCTTCATTAATACTTTACCGTAAATCTAGTTCTTATTCTTATTAGACGAAGTAGTAATAATAATAAAAAATAAGAAATTAGTTTTGCATAATATATCAACAGAAAATAATAATATATTTCACAACTTCTCTGAAATCGTTCTTTTTGACAGTTGTTTTAGTTTTATTTTACTACTCAAGAAACTGACGATTAATCCAAATTAAAATCGATTTAAAAAATGTCTAAAGTGTGAATAAAAATCTTAGGCTAGGGTAACGATGGCAATATAAGTTAACAATAAGATTAAACGAACAAAAACTAATAAGGTAATTTACCAACACCGTTATCGATAATAGTTGACTAGCAAATATCCTTACATTATTTTTAGCACAAACACGTATTAGCGAATACATATTAAAACAAAAACAAGTAAAATTGCACACTCTCAGTAGGTACTTCAATTTAAAATGACAAATACAATAAACGCAAAAATAATAATTAGCATTGAACAATTCATGCCTACATTTTTTTACACATGCAACAATATAAACATACAAAAAAAGTGGCATGCAAAAGAGCAGATAAAGAGTTAATAAAAGTTACCTGTAATTCTGCCAAGCTACGTCTCGTGTGAATCCAGTCGATGTTAGTATTATGTATGCAAAACTAAATCCAGCTGATATCCCAATCACCAGTGTTAGAAAGAAACGGCGACCCATCACCCGGCCTTCTCCCTGCACAGTGTACATAGCTTACAATCTACGTTTTTTTTTCACAATTTTTTTTTTCACCGGTAAAGCCGCAACACGTCTTCGCGACAAGACGTCAATACGACCATATGCTATCTGTGTTCTAAGGTAATTAGACTCGTCAGTACATTTACTTCGTTCAAGTATAGTATACACAAGTGACATTTAATATTTAAAAAAAAATACATTTATATATTTCTACGAATAGTTATACATTAACAATTGTCAGCTATGAGAAGGTTTGCTCTGGGGATATAGACTACAATAGACAAATTATCACACATTATATTATAATATTGTTAAAATAATATTGCTGTATAATATAAACAACGTTAAAAATTATGAACCTCCTTTCTGTTTTCTCTGGGAGTATTTTTCCCTATACGAACTGCTGTTACGTTTAATCTAAAAGTAGATCATCCATTTAAAAAAAAGGTTATATTCATGATGTTTACCTATAAGACATTATGTTGTCTCATGTACGGCAATTATAAATCCTCTTTTTACTTAATAAAAATAGAATTACACGTGCTATAAAATAAAGAAGTTTTTAATATACCATTTTGTACTTTAATGGTAAAGGTATAAGTTCAAATTCATAATGATTCCTCGCTTATGTAAGAAATGTGAACTTTACGTTTTCGGTCGTGTCATTAGAATTGATATTTTGGGACCATTTTCAAATTCTCGGAATAAAGTGTCTCTCTCAGTGATTCATTTCTATTTTCGTCATTTCGTCAACTGAATTACATTTATTGACTAAATTTTTAAGAAAAAAATAAACGTATACAATATATAGCACAGAATCATTTTACTGAATATAAGAATAACCATATTCTAATAAGATGTCTGTTTCAATTTATTACGTTTAACAAAACACTTAATATTTTACTGTTCAACGATACCAATTTGATTTTATTGATGCTCTAGTTTGACAATACAATATTAATATACGAGAATTACTAGTGACTACATTGCTACTAAAGTAGTAAAGTCCATCAAAGGACTACATTGCTACTTTATTCATGTGCAACTCAAATAAACATTAAAAAAATAACCACCAATTATAAATTTGGAATATCTCTTTTTGAAATTAAAAAGTTATTCAAAAACAATTTTGGCGTTTTTTTAAAGCACGCGCTACACAGATACACTTACTATATTCGTATATGAAGATCGCATCTTTGAAATTTTAAGTTCACTTAACCAAGCACAAAAAGCGCAATACACAAGGTGAAACCAACACCACACAACGATCGTTGATTGAGCAATCATTCGTTTGTTTATTTGTTTATCTTATAAGATTATTTGTTTTTGCTGCACGAATCACAATCGCCAAATCATGTTGTCATACAAAGAATGTAGAATTTATAAACTGTAATTTTAGTCAATGCATAACAAAAAAGGATTAAATCGGTCATTTAGATTATGACAAATGTTAAAACTTCAACACGAGTTTAAAACGCAACATGTTTTATAAGTCAGCCAAAAAAAAAATACCTTTGTCACTTAAGTATAAATTTCAATTCCAACGAAATTAGAATCTCTGAGATGTCCTCTATCCGTTTACGTACTAGTGATTCAAAATATACGAAATGAGTGGAGCGCTTTATGGAACGACTCGTTCAGAACTAGAGGAAAACACAACTGGCCTGTATTAGACTGGATTGATATATAATTAATTCTGGCGGTAATTAAAATTTCATCTATTGTTCGAAATCATTTTCTCGTTCGAATTATACAAAAAAAAAGACAGTAAGGGTAAGTTAACAATGCTTTAAGGTCTCTTAAATATTTTATATAAAAAAATCATACATACATATTTATTATTGTCGATGTCATTATTTGTAGTATTCAACATAATTAGACTTTGATTTTAGATTGGCTGGAGTAAACGAGCTAAGTCACTGAATCGACTAAAAGTAATTAAAAAAACAATTTTATGCGTTATAAAACACAAGTCTACGCGTTTTTCATTACAATATTAATTATCCATTTTAAACGCTGCCAGGTAAATATATATCCAGCAATTATTTTGCTTTCATTTTTGGCGAATTCACTTCCCATTTTTTGTTTGAAAGGTAAAGGGAGGCAGGTGTAAATGTGATCTAGTATATCATAAGAAAATATGACTACGCCAGTAACAGATTATCCCTAAGGCAAAGAAGGCGTGTGCCTAGGGGCGTGAGGTTACAGGGAGGCGCGCGCGCAGAATTTTTAACAAAGAAAAAATATATATACATGCCTTGCATAAAAAGAACTGTGTCAGTAAGTAAGTGTGCACATACACAATATAAACTCTAAAACTTTAATTCTATAAAGATCTAGGGTTTGGTATATAGGATCTAGTTGCTACAACTGCAGCTGTAGTTGAGATTACTCAATAATTGTAGTATTAGTTCAGGGTTGTCCAATCACTGGCACTATACGGGCACCAGTGTCGGCGCAGGCTCTGTCAGCCCAGAATAAGGAGTGCCTCTAGTAACCTCAGAAGGTGGTGGTGGTGGAACTCTCCGATGGGATTTAGAGAATGAGGGAAATGTACTCATATGTAGCGTAAGGCAGCTCGCACAGCCACGATGCGACTGCAATGTGAACTTGGCTTATCACACACTGGTCAACGTAACGGTGAGGATTTCTCGCTACCAGCCGTTAAAAGATCTAAGCGTATACGAAAAAAAAGCGACTTTATACTATGTAAATAAGATATACTTCTTCTTACTATGATACTGTTGCGCCATAGGATTGAATGGTTCTAGTATTGAGCAGTTAGTTGGTGAACAATCGAGTGCCGTATGGAATCTTGAGAACAGCACCATTTAGTATCGAGGAACGCACAACGAACACTACGCATTGATATTACGGTTAATAATTCTGATACTTGCAGCGCCATCTAATGTCGAGTAACAGAAGATTATTATTCATAGATGTCTGGAGCGTTCTGTTGAATCCTTGGGATGAGACATGTGACTAAATCACAGTGAACTGATTAATCATTAGATTTTTGCGTACGTAGGTTAGGGTTGTTAGGTTAGACGTTATTTAACAGTAAATCTAGTTTTATTTTTTAATTATTATGTAGGGAATGGTAGCTATATATAATAAAATAATTACTAGATTTATTGTTAAAAAGGCTAAATAGTGTCTATATGCATCGTCTGAAAACAACTTATTGGCAACAACGCGTAAGTAGTAACCCTAGGCACGAAAAAATCGAACGATAAATCACCGGTCATTCACAGTTCATTTTGATTTTGTCCCGTATATAATCGGGATTATTCCAGTAATTTCGGTAGTCCTATATAAGCGGCGCGTATTAGCCGTACAGGCGAGTATTGTTTTACGAGACAGCGGATTAACACCTAAGCGATTTTCAAGTGCGACTAAGGAGTTATTTAGTTAAGTTTTAAAAGTGTGTCTTTATAAATACAGTGCTAATTTTGGTAATTATCCGCCTACTTTTGTTTATTGAATTCGCGGCTCGTAACAATTTCTTTTGTATAGACAAGGGCTTTTGTATAATCTATATTTTCACATTTATAATCATCAATCATCATCATCAACAGCCTTTACTAGTCCACTGCTGGACATCCCTCCCTCAAAGGAGGTTTTGGCCTAATATACCACGCTGGCCAGACGGGTTGGTATAGGGCCAGCCGCGAGGGGGCGGCGTCCGCGTGTGCCGGACGTCGCCTAAAGAGAGGAAAAATTTTAGCGGGCCGGCGCTAGGAGGGGTCCGGATGTCTTAATAACAGCTGTTCCCGGATCCCTCCTATTACAGGCGCAGAGTGGCACACCGTGTGGTTTTAGTCGGTCCGAGTCCGACACACCATCCCGCCGCCCGGTGGGGTGACGGTCCGAGGGGATTTCCACACGTTAAAAAAAAAAGGGTTCGTTTCAAGTTTTCAGTGCTGTTTCCTACGTAGTTTGCCGCCTCAATCAACTCTGTCCATCCACGGGATGAACAGAACACTCCGTATTAAGAATACATTTTTTTAAAGTTTATTCTAGGATACCTACTAGATTATTCTAAATACAAAAGAGTCCAAATTTCTTTTTAACGTACCTAACAGATCATACTAAATGCTGTAGAACAATATTTTCTTTTGTTATAAAAAATCCCAGCATTCTAATTTTCTCTACTGACTGAACGAAGTTCTAACAGCTGCCTCCCTTAGACTTCTTTAGTCTGCTAAATGTGTATTCGATAGCGAATCAGTCGAACCATTAACTAAGATAGTAATGACGACCTGTGACCAAACTAACAAATCTACAAGTATAAGACATAGTAAAACTTGTTTATTTAAATTAAATTTATTTCCCAATGTCATTTGTAAATCTATCTTGTACCTTTTTCTTATATTGTAATTCCTAATGAATTTATTAAATTATTTTGATTTCGGTTAACCAATTAGTCCCTATAAATATACAGGGACGGTATCACAAATAGTGTATTCAGAGTCGAAAATCATTAGAATTTTCTGCCGTAAAATACGCATTAGCATCCATAATTTCCTAGGCAAAAACACCATTTCTAGAGCGGTTAATTAAGATTATAAAAGCCAATCAAACGCTATCGTATGACCAATTAACAAAAATCTGTGCAAAAATTGTGTGATAAGGAATTTATAGGCAATTTCACACAAACAATTTTACTTTTTTATAACTACGATATAATATTTGACTTTATGATTTCACTTAAAGTAAGTCGTATGAAACCAACGTAGGTTTCTTTTTAGTATAGGAGGGCAAACGAGGAGAGCAGAGCCAGGTCATCTAATGGTAAGTGCATATCGCCGCCTTTTGACCCCCCTGCCCTCCCAGATAAAAATGGGAGAACGAGGGGGGGGGTTCGTCTCCAGTAACCTCGCTCACTTAACACCTTTCTGTGAGACCTATCACTCCGGTCGAGCCGGTACATTTGTGCGGAAGTTTGACTATCCCACGGCAATAACTTCAATTTATTCAATAATTGAATATTACACAATCCTGTTGATCAC